ATTAGTACCTTCACATGTTAAATTTCTATATATTAATAATCTTTGAGTTATACTAAAGTGACAAGTCCATAATGGACAAAAGGAAAGAAGCAGTGGAGTGATTCAGAGAAAACAGGGTAATTTTAGTCTCAGGAATCCCATTTCCACGACCTACACTAAGGAAACTGGCAATGTGAAGATTCATGGCACTGGATGAGTCAACACACAACACTACTTCTGGGAGCTGAATGACTGAAACAAACCAAATGGTAATGCTGACTGAGCATTTATTAGAAGCCATGGGGCGGTGCTGTGGCACGGGGGGTTAAAACCCCAGCCTGCAGTGCTGGCATCCCATATGGGTGTCAGTTCAAGTCCCAGCTGCTCCACTTCTGATCTAACTGCCTGCTAATACACCTGGGAAAGCAAGGGAGGATGGCCCAAGTCCTTGAGGCCTTGCACCCACGTGCGAGACCAGGAAGAACTTCCTGGTTTTGGCCTGGCCCAGCCCTGGCCATTACAGCCATTTGGGGAATGAACCAGTAGATGCAAGATTTCTCTCTCTGTCTGTCTCTACCTCTCTCTGTAACTCCAGCTTTCAAATAAATAAAATAAATCTTAAAAAAAAAATCATACATCTTTCTAACTATTTTACTTCCTTGCTATGAACTACAGCACATCACTTCAGAACTTAACAGAAACACACAATCTCGGGCCCTACCCTTCTCAATCTGAATCTGTATTTCAACAAGCTCCCTAAGTAGACAGTATAAGCAGCATTATTTTACAAGCGTCAATTCACTGAATCAGTGCTGTGACGTAACAGGTTAAGTCTCCATCTGTAGAGCTGGCATCCCACTTGGGTGCCAGTAGAATCACGGCTTCTCCACTTCCCATCCAGCTCCCTGCTAATGTTTCTGGGAAAGCAGTGGAGGACAGCCCAAGTTCTCGGGCCCCTGCACCCAATGTGGGAGAACAGAAGAAGCTCCTGACTGTTGGCTTCAGCCTGGCAAGCCCCAGCTGTTGTAGCCATTTGAGGAGTGAATCAGTGGATGGAAGACCTCTCTCTCTCCCTCTTTCTTTCTCTGTAACTCTGCCATCCAAATAAAAATAAAATAAAATAAAAAATCCATAACATAATCTTCATAACATAAGATCTTCATAACATATAATTAATATAAAATATAATATAAAATATAAAAATAAAATAAAAAATCCATAACATATAATCTTCATAACATAAAATCTTCATAACCTATATAATTAATTTAATCCTCCAAACAACTCAATAATACAAAAATTATCATCCTCCATCACTGAGGCACAAAGCACTATATAACTGGCATAGTAACTATCAAAGGCTGGATTTGAACCCACACACTCTTATTCTAAAATCCAACCTTTCAACCATTATTGCATTTTATTTCTCTATTTGTAAGCAACAGATAGTATATATATCCATAAAACAATATATTCTTTGTCTATTAAAACTAGAGTCTAAAGAATTTTTAATGATACAATGAAAGTAAAATGATCTATTAAGTGAAATAGACAGGATATAAAATTGAATATATGGTTATGAGCTCAATTATGTAATTATTAAGAAGTATGTGGCGGGGGGGATGTCACCACTATAGGTTAAGGGAATGGAATCTCGTATCAGAATGCCCAGGTTCAAACTTCAGTTCCACCTCTTACTAGCTGACTACTCTCAGGTGAGATGCTTAATTTTGTTTTCTTTAGCTATGAAGAGAACAAAATTCATCTAACAAGACTGTTATGATGATTAAATGAAGTAATCTACATAAAGCATGAGTGTTAGGAAAAAAGGCGCAGAATAGAGAGGAGGCAGTGTATGAATTTAGGGACAGAATGAATTTATTCAGATAAAATAAATTCGTAGAGGTGGGTGACACATGATGGAATAGATGGGAGGAGGGCTACGGATGGGGGTGGGGGTAGGGGACAGCAGGCAGAGGTGAATAACTGGACTGGTCTTTCAGGCATTCCAATAACTGGTCTTTCAGGTGCCATGGAGGGGTGGGGTATGAAGGCAATGGGGTATGAGACCCAATTGAGATTCAAAGGCAAGGAATAAATTCCATTGTTTATCTATCTTTTGGGCAGTGAGCAAGAATGGCTAAGGCTTATGCATTTGTTCCATCACCAATAAGTAACTGGGGGCCCAGCGATGTGGTATAGTGGGTAAACCCACCACCTCAGTGCAGGCATCCCATGTGGGTGCCAATTTGATTTCCAGATGCTTCACTTCCAATCCAGCTCTCTGCTATGGCCTGGGAAAGCAGTACAAGATGGCACAAGTCCTTGGGCCCCTGCACCCGCTTGGGAGACCTGGAGGAAGCTCCTGGCTCCTGGCTTCAGATCAGTGCAGCTCCGGCAGTTGTGGCCATCTGGGGAATGAGCCAGCAGATGGAAGACCGCTTTCCCTCTGCCTCTCTCTAACTCTGCCTTTCAAATAAATAAATACATCATTTAAAAAAGTGTAACTGAATACTGTTTTCTCTTCCTACTTTTTCAGTTCTCATAATTTCTTCAATGAATACATATTATACATCAGTAATCAGCAAATAAGGTTCTTTTAAAAAAGATAATGCCATAGATTGTCAATTATCTTATAAAGGGCCATGATGAAAAAGTACCCTCTCCTCTAATTAGATAATCTAAGACTGAACAATTAATAGCTGAGTAACAGACCTAAGAAAGATCTTGAAATAAGCTAAAACAATGAAACTGAGTAAGGGTTACTGCTGTGCCTACTTCTCTTCCAGAGAGCTGTTACTTAGAATGAAGTCCATCATCTATCTTGAATGATTTAGGTATTTCCAACTGCCTGGCAGCATCTGCCTGACCTTGCGTGGGTTACCAGAGTTCTCTTAAAGTCTCAATTTTCACCAATTCAAAGGAATTACACTACTTCCCTTGAAGTTATTGGGAGGATTTTTAAGAAAATATGCATAAAGCAGACTGACTGGCACAAAGAAATGCTTAGCACTGGCTGCAATCTGTCAGCATCTGCATCAGCATCACTGTCTTAGCAGGATTAAGAGTTCTTGAGCTCCTGTCTGGCAATGAAAATATATTCCTTCAAACAGTTCAGCAGTGTTTTCATTATTTGCTAATCAACTGTATCTTCAAAGAATTATTTCATTATAAATTATCAAAGCTACAGGACTAAAGACACATTCTCTAAGTACAGTTTAGATAGTAAATAAACTATACCACATTTGGATACTTAACTAATTATACAACTAGTGTTAGCAAACCAGTTCCAGCAGGGTTTTCCCCATATTTCTAAATTATGTGTAGAAGTAATCATTGGTATATAAATGAATTAGTCATATGCTTAAATAAGTGAACTCAATCAATCACTACCAGCTACAATCTAGGTCAAGACTTCCCACCTGATAAAATTAGATCAGAATCAGTGTTCAGATTTAGAAAAGCCTAAGGATCACCCAGTCTGATCCTTTTGTTTTACAAATGGATTTAGGAAAGGTAGTTAACTGGTGAACAAGGAAAACATTCAAATGCTAATCTACTTTCTCAAGAATTAGTCCAAATTCTAAAACACACAGCAAACCTCAATTTACACTTTAAAAAAAGGACATCAAATTTTTAACTCAGCTAAAGGTGTTACTATTATCACACTTTCAAGGTATAACTGGGAGCTTCCTTTCTCACTGTCAACCTTACAGCTTTGAATTCTGTTTCAAGACATTTTTTATTACTGGGAACAGGAAGCAGAGGAAAAAACAAATTGGTGGGGCATTTAAAGAGCTATTATCATGTCTAATTCAAAGAACTCATAGTGCTCTTTAAAAAAAATAACTGAATCAAAGAGTTCATACGTACAGTTTAAGAATACTACAAGAACATTCTTCTTCACATGTGTATAGAAAAGTTTTAGGACATGAATGGTTTTAAGCCAGTGAAAACATGTTCAGCTTCATTCTTCGAAAGAAATGAAAATTAAAAAAAAAAATTCCGACTAGATTTGCAAAAATCCAAGTCACTAGGCCTGGAAAAAGATTTTCTTGAAATCATTCTCTAATTTAAAAACTCTCAACAATCATTTCTATTTACAAGCAGGTATGTGTTATGCATGAGAATCTGTCTATTTCTATATAAAATATAGTATTAACACATTTTGAAGGGGAAACAGATACACTTTTATCATTTTTGATGGAGATATAACTTCTATGAAAAGGAATTTGACGTATCTGTCAAAATTACAATTCTCGTAAACTCCACTACCAGGAGTTTAACCTAAAGACAGATCCCTATATATGACAGCTATCACGAGAAACAGGATATGCAGTGCAGAACCATTTGTAGTAGTAAAAAATTAGTAACAAATTGAATGTCCGTTAATTGGAGGTGGGCTAAAATTATGGTAGACTCATAAAATGGAATACTATTGCAGTCATTAAATAAATGATAACTATATAGCTATTAATAGGCAAAGATCACTAAGGGATATTAAATCAACAATATGTTGCATATAGCACCGTTAGTTTTTATATAGAGAAGTAGAAACACATAGTCATGTGTTAGCAAATATATACATTTATAATTGCATAAAATATCCTTGATTCTATAAAAATCTAGTAATAACAACTTTCTCCATAGAAATATCTGAGAATATCTGAGAAGTCAGGAAATGGAGAAGACAGGGCTTACTGCTCAATCTCTAACCTTTTATAAATTTCTATTTAGTTCTCTCTACTTTTCAGAAAAATTAACTGTTAAAACATTTATTTTAAATTTAGATACCTCACCTATGACCCATTCCAAATTTTAAAAAAAACCCTCTAATTTTTCTTTACTGATAGTTTTTAAATTCAAGAATCATAAACTCAGCATTTAGAGGATAACATTTTTTCAGTCCTCATCATTCCCAATCGACATCATTCCCAGCATGATTACAATGCTAACTTCTAAGCAGAAACACAAACAATTTATGTTACAGTAGAATTAGAGTGTTAAAACTCAAACCTCACCTGACCAGGTCTCCATGAAGCTGTATATATAGACTTTCTCTTCCCTCTCCAGCACATATTTCTGACGCTGGTGTCTCCACTGTGCAAAGGACAAGATGTAAGTCAGAGGAGGAGGAGGAGCAGGAAGTAGAGGAGGCGGTGGCTGTAGTGGCAGTGCTGGTCTCTGCGCCATACAGGTAAACGCAGCCTCTCTTCACATCTTCTCTCAGCCAGTCTCTTTCTCGAGAACCAAACCTACTTCTCCTAGTCAAACAACTTCTGCTTCCATTGCGTTTCATATTTCTCTAAAAAAATACCATGAGAAAGAAATTAGCCAGAATGTCTGACTGAGTTAGACAAGTTCTGTCATCACCTCCCTACTTTATATTCACTAACATTTCACTTAAGTATCCCCTCCTGCTGTGGATCCCTCAGCATTTGCCCATTTTTTTAAATTATTTAATTATTTATTTATTTGAAAGGCAGAGAGAGAGAGAGACAGAGAGTGAGATAAAGAGACCTTCCACCAGTTGGTTCACTTCCCAAATGTATACAACAGCCAGGTCTGGGCTAGGCCAAAGACAAAAAACAAAAACTCCATCTGGATCTCCCACACAGGTGGCAGAGGCCCAAGTACTTGGAAAATCTTCTCTTGCCTTCCCAGGCACATTAGTGGGTACCTCGATCGGAAGCAGAGAAGCCAGGACTTGAATCGGTGCTTAGATATGGGATGCCAGCACTGCAAACCACAGCTAAACTCACTGTACCACATCAACCTCCACCTGCCCATTCCTAACATAGATAACTTACTACTAGATTCTCACACATCAATCTATCAACTACTCTGACCCTCTCTTTTACAGAAAAGCATCAAGGATAACAAAACAGGAGCCAGCACTGTGGCACAACAGGTAAAGCCCCTGCCTTCAGGGCCAGCATCCCATATGGACACCAGCTGCTCCACCTCCAATCCAGCTCTCTGCTGTAGCCTGGGAAAGCAGCAGAAGATGGCCAAGTCCTTGGGTCCCTGCACCGACATGGGAAACCCAGAAGAAGCCACTGGCTCCTGGCTTAGGATTAACCAGAGCTAGGCCACTGTGGCCATTTAGAGAGTGAACCAGCAGATGGAAGACCTCTCTCTCTCTCTACCTCTGCCTCTCTGTAACTCTGCCTTTCAAATAAATAAATCTTAAAAAAACAAACAAAAAAAAAAAACCCACCTTTGTACCAACTATCCAACTTGCACAAATTTTAGTATTTTGCCACATTTAGCTGCTATCATTACTCTAAGGAACACACATGTATCCAAAACATTCCTAGATACACAGCTGTGGCTATCTGGCATCTCCTTCCTTTCTTTCTCCAGAAATAAACACACCACTGTATTTGGTACTTACCATTCCAAGCATTTTGTTTGCCATATACTATAAACTAGACTTACAAAGACAGTAAGAGTATATACTTAGTACTGTTTTACCTGATGTAAAACTTAAACTTCAACATACTTAAGTTTCACCTTGCAATTTTATTTAGTTCAACATACTCAGAAATGCAACTATGCTAATACACAAAGTTCATTCATTTGAATAATATTCCATTTTATGAATACAATATAACTTACTCACTAGCCTGTTGATGGGATTTAGTCTCCAATTTTTCATGCCGGAAACAATGTCACAACTGACAAAAATTTCTGAGTATCTCTTTATGCAAATATTAAGTTTCTCAAGGATTCTAACCCTCTGCCTCATATCTGAAATAAGGACAGTATCAATACAAAAACACAAATATTCTCTCCATTGCTTTAATGTTTCAAAAGAATTACTACTGCATTCAACAACTCTGGCATGTGAAATTCATACACACATTGTGACATCAAGTTATCTCAAGGTAAAAACAGCCAATATAACAAGTTTCTTGGGGTTGGCACTGTGGTGCAGTGGGTTAACGCCCTGCCCTGAAGTGCTGGCATCCCATATGGGAACTGGTTCGAGACACAGCTGCTCCACTTCCTATCCAGCTCTCTGCTACGGCCTAGGAAAACAGCAGAAAATGTCCCAAGTCCTTGGGCCCCTGCACCTGTATGGGAGACCCAGAAGAAGCTCCTGGCTCCTGGCTCCTGATCAGCTCAGCTCCAGCCGTTGTGGCCATCTGGGGAGTGAACCAGCGGATGGAAGACCTTTCTCTCTGCCTCTCCTCTCTCTGTGTAACTCTTTCAAATAAATAAATAAATCTAAAAAAAAAAAAAGGTAAGATTCTCAAATTCAATGTTTCCCTACTCTATGTTAATGACAGGTCATTTCTGTTTTAATTTAAAAAAGGAATTTCCACGGACAATCACACTAACCAACCTCTGCAGTTTCTTTCCCCATATCCTTCAGTCATAACCAACTATTTGCAAACACCCAAACACACCAATGATTACACATTTCTGTGACTTGTCTGCAATGTCCTTCACCATCTTGTCTACATGAGTTATTCTTCAAAACTCTACTCAGGTATCACCCTATCTACAGAAACTTCCATGTCCTCCTCTCCCTTCCCCATTCTCCCCTCCTCCAATCTAGAAAGAATTAATGACTTTCTCCTCAGTAGAGCTTCTTTACCTAGAACATACTTTTTTCTTTTCTTTTCTTTTCTTTTTTTTTTTAAGGTTTATTTGTTTATTTGAGAGGCAGAGGCAGAGAGAGGTCTTCAATCTGCTGGTTCACTCCCCAGATAACCGCAACAGTTGGAGCTACGCTGATTCAAAGCCAGGAGCCAGGAGCTTCTTCCGGGTCTCCCACGCAGGTACGGGGCCCAAGGACTTGAGCCATCTTCTACTGCTTTCCCAGGCCATAGCAGAGAGCTGGATCACAAGTGGACCAGCCAGAAATCAAACTGGTACCCATATGGAACCACAGCGCTAGCCCCGAACATACTTTTAATGTATGTGTTTGACAATGGGTTTTCATTATTTATTTGCTATTTCTTCCTCTCTTCCACAGACAACCTATTATGTCTTAACACAGACTGGTGTAGAGATGTATGCACAAGTCAACTGATATTACAGAAATGTATTCCCAATTTATACTTCAGCTCAATTAACCCCTGCAAGAAGCTGAACAAACCTGGGAAAAATCTCCATTTTTTGTAAAGAAGCCTATATCTTTCCTCTCTATCAGCTACAATATGAAAGAGAATAAATATAGTTCCACTGCTGGCACTGTGGTATGGTGAGTTAAGCCATTGCCTGGTATGCCCACTGGCATTCCATATGGGCGCCAGTTCAAGACCTGGCTGCTCCACTTCTGATGCAGCTCCCCACTAATGTTCCTGGGAAAACAGTGGAGGATGGGCCAAGTCCTTGGGCCCCTATCAACACATGAGACCCAGAAGCAGAAATGGGCTCTTGGCTTCGTCCTCACTCAACCCCAGCTTTTGCAGTCATTTGGGGAGTGAGCCAGTGGATGGAAGATCTCTGTCTCTCCCTCTAACTCTGCTTTTTTAAAATTTTGTTTATTTGAAAGTCAGAGTTACACAGAGAATAAGAGACAGAAAGAGAGAGATCAATCTTCCATCCGTTGGTTCATTCACCAGATGACTGCATTTCAAATAAATAAAAATCTTAAAAAAAAAAAAAAAAACAAAAAAAAAAAACAAAAAAAAAACACTGTTGCACTAATATTTCTTACTGGGAAACTGAAATTGAAATACCTATGAATAAATCAAGTGGTAGATACTGGTATCCCCTATGAGCGCTGGTTTGAGTCCTAGCTGCTCCACTTCCAATCTAGCTCCCTGCTAACATGCCCGACAAAACAGCAGAAGACGGCCCAGGTGCTTCGGCTCCTGCCACGCATGTGGCAGCCAAAGAAGCTTCTGGCTCCTAGCTTTGGCTTGGCCTCGTCCTGGCCTAGCCCTGGCCATTGTGGCCATCTGGGGAGCAAACCAGCGAATGGAAAATCTCTTTAAAAATTATCTCTTTTCAAATAAATAAAAAATTAAATACAGATATTTTTATAATTATTGAGATGAGATAGTTGAGGGTAATTTTGGCACTTAAAATTATATTTCTAAAGTCTGTAAAAAAGGGGGCAAGGAAAAGTTAGCAAGTATTCTCACATGGGAAGGGAAAAAAACAAGGATGAAAAGAGACTCACAGTTCAAATGTAGGATAACACAGGTAGATGTAGATGTAGCATTTTGTGGATCTTGGGGGATTTGAGTACACCTGCTCAAAACCATGAGGATTATTATTCATTCTAACTTCAGAGAAAAGGGATTAAAGCCCTGCTACAAGTGGGAACTTGGTCTCTCATCACTTCAAGCACATTTCCTCAACACTGACTACTTCAGATTGAACGAACAGCCGCCAAGTGTGTGTGTCATAAACACAAGGGCCATCATATTGGTGCCACTTAATAAGTTAAGCACTGGTTGTTGTTGTTGTTGTTTAGAAACAAAGAGAGCACTTGCATCCACTGGTTCACTCTTCAAATGCTTACAATGGCAGGGGCCAAAGCTCAATCCAGGTCTCCCATGTGGTTGGCAGGAATCCAATCACTTGAACCATTACCACTGTCTCCCAGTGTCCTCATTTGCAGAAAGCTAGAGTGAGGAGTCAGAGCTAAGTATCAAACCCAACACAGAATTCTGGTATCTTTTTTTTCTCCCAAAGTTTATTTATTACTTTTATTTATTTGAAAGGCAGAAAGACAGAGAAACAGACATCTTCCACCTGCAGGTTCACTCCCCAAATGCCCAGGCTGGGCCAGGCTGAAATCAGCCACCAGGAACCCCATCTGGGTCTCCCACATGGATGGCAGCTGCGTCATCACCTGCTGCCTCCCAGGGTGTGCATTAAAGGAAACTGAACTGGAAGTGAAGGTGGGTCTTGATGCCAGGCACTCCAACGTGGGTTGTGGATGTCCCAAGCAGCAGCATAACCTGCGCACAATACCTACCCTTATGTGGGAGTCTTAACTGCTAGACTCAATGGCCACTCCATGGTTGATTTTAACTATTCCTTTTATAAAATCATTGGAAAAGATTTACTGATCCATCTGAAAATCGTAATCTACACAGTATAGTAACAAAGAATCTGGAGGTAGGCACTACCACTGCTTAGACACCAGTATCCATGAATGCCTGGGGTCAGGTTACACACCCACTTTGGCTTCTAATGCTATTATCACTCAAGTCCTGAGTCCCTGCCACCCCCCTGGGAGACCCAGATGGATTTCTTGGCTTTTGACTTCAGCATGGCTCAGCCCCTGATGTTGTGAGCATATAGGGAAATAACCAGTAGACGGAAGATCCCAATCTCAATGTCTCAGTATCTCCCTCTCCTTTCAGTCTCACTCTTCCTCTCAAATAAATAAAAATGAAAAAACATTTACCAAAATAATTATGGAAAAAAGTAAAAGAAACTGAATTCTGAACTCAATGGAGAAAAATGAATGAGCACACACTATTACACAAACCACCTCTCTTTAAAGAAAGTTTCTAAGGTCAAATAATGGCCCAATCTCAGAAAAGTCAAGAAAGTCCCCAGGAAGTAATACGTCAGATCATTCATGATATTTTTCCCTATGCTCTTATTTCCCTTAAAACTAAATTCCTCGGGACCAGCACTGTGACATAGCAGGTTAAGATGCTGCTTCTACAATTGCATCCTATATTGGAGCGTTAGTTTGAGTCCCAGTTGCTCCATTTCCGATTCATTTCCCTTGAGAAAGCAGCAGTGGCAGATGGCCCAAATACTTGGGCCACCCATACGCGAAACCAGGGTGGAGTTCCCAGCTCCTGGATTTGGCCTGGCCCAGACCTTGCTGTTACAGCCATGTGGGGTGGAAGATCTCTACTTGTTCTCTCCCTTGCTTTCTCTATTGCTCTTTCACATAAATTAATCTTTTAAAAATAGACTAAATCCCTTAAGGAACTTCACATGATCAAAACTGTGTGTTGTTGGTCATCATTTACCACAAAAGATCTGTCTCCAGTCTACATGATGTCTCCACCCCATGACAATGGCCTGCTGCAACAGAACTTCAGTAGGTATCCTCTCTCCAACCTGATCATTTAAAAGGTCTGCATCATAAGCCAAGCAGTCTTACAGCAGCGGTCTAGATGGACTGTTTGGCTATTACTAGTCCCTACTTCTCCCTTCTTCTCAAGAACGTGCTGCTCCCCTGTCTAACACATCAGGTGATTGCTGGAAAAGACTTCTTAGCAGCCAGCACTGCTGATGACACTGTTCCCTGAGCTGCCTTCAGCTTTTAGAATCACCATTCCACTGGAACTGCTAGACTGAGAACACTGTATTTTCTCCTCAATTCTTAATTAAGAACTGTTTTCACAAACCTATCTAAAAAAACAACACAACTATAACCATCTCTCACATCAAGTTAGTGTATAAAGAGTACAGTTAAGATTGAAAGATTGTTCTAGAAAGCAAAACATCTTAGAGTAAGCCATGAACTAAACACCCACTGTTTCATTAACTTTTTTTTTTTTTTTTTTTTTTGACAGGCAGAGTGGACAGTGAGAGAGAGAGAGACAGAGAAAGGTCTTCCTTTTGCCGTTGGTTCACCCTCCAATGGCCGCCGCGGCTGGCGCACCACGCTGATCCGATGGCAGGAGCCAGGTACTTCTCCTGGTCTCCCATGGGGTGCAGGGCCCAAGCACTTGGGCCATCCTCCACTGCACTCCCTGGCCACAGCAGAGAGCTGGCCTGGAAGAGGGGCAACCGGGACAGAATCCGGCACCCCGACCGGGACTAGAACCCGGTGTGCCAGTGCCGCAAGGCGGAGGATTAGCCTAGTGAGCCGCGGCGCCGGCTGTTTCATTAACTTCTAACTCTCTGAACCTAAAGATAATATATGAGGCCTATGATGAGGTCAAAGGTGATAGACTATTAAACACTCATATACATACAATTAAGAATAAGATATCTATGGTAAAAATAGGATTTAGCAACTCAGTTTTCTTAGAATGGAAAATAGTTTAAGGTAGAAAATGTTCCTAGAAGATGTTTCTGCATTCAAAACTTTGAAACATGGGCTCACCTCTGAAAATATGCATGTTATAGAATATTCTGGAAGTGAGTGGTGGAG